CTAGCCTAGTAGCCTAGTTCCCCAAGTCTCCTAGACCCTGGAGATAGAGACCACGTTTTCTCTGAACAAGAATAGTGGGTTACAAAGAAAAAGACCCCCCCCACCCCAGGGCTACGTCTTCCTGGTAAGCTTCCTTTTTCTCCATACCCGAAGCAAAAAGCAAACAAAACAAAAATCAACACAAAATCCAGCACCGTTAAATCACTTTAGGATTAGGTGTCAGAGTTAGGAGACTTGGGTTATTTGGTAGTAAGGGGAGGGGTCTAGAGTGAAGCGAGGGTCCGGAACTAGGGCCTCAGGCCCCCTTGTTGCTGGGGCGTGTCAAGAGGAGGGGACTTCGAAGGGTGATGCCCTACTGGGCTGCCACCTTGGGGCTGCGCGCGGGGCTGAGGAGCCTAGGGAACAAGTCTCCGAGCTAGCCCAGCCTCTCAATTCCCACGGCCCGGGACTTCGCAAGACATTCCTGCTGCTGTTCCCGCGACACCCTCCCCTACACCCGCAGGGAAGACCGAGGAACCGTGGCCCCATCGAGTCCGCGGCGGAAGCGCGTCCAAACGAATGAGTAAGTCAGGCGCGGGCACGACACCTTGTTTACCCCACTCGGCGGCGCGCCCCTGCGGGCGCCTCGTTTGCAGGAGGCGTCGGAGACGCTGAACTCGGGAGTCAGTCGGCCACGATTGGCTGGTGATTGGGAAGAGGACGCTGGGTGGGAGGGCTAGGAGCCAAGCGTTGCAGTGCCATCTCTCTGCCGCTAGATGCCGCCCCCTCCCAACAGGAGCCGGGCGCGGGTTCGTGGCCGACAGATGGCGCCTGCGCGTTCCATTCGCCTCCAAGTCGCTGAAGAGCGAACACCCCAAACAATCCCGAAGCGCCACCAAAAAAAAAAAAAAAAAAAAAAAAGAAAGAAAGAAAAAAGAAAAAAAAAAGAAAAAGAAAAAAAAAACACCCGCCGGATCCGACCGCCACTTTCAAAACCCCCCACCGCTCTAGAACCGCGGGAGCTTCCGTCCCTGAGTAGAATTCGAGGGTGTAAAGAAGAGAAAAGGGAAAAAAATCTTGTACCAGCCCAGGGGTGAAGAAGCCCCCGGCCTGAGAAAGAAGGAAGGAGTGGGGGAGGCGAACAGTCTCGTTGCTGCCTCTGTGTACGCTGAGGGGGGAGGTAAGTTATAAAATGGCGGAGGCGAAGGTTCTAGAAGTTTGGAGGGGCACCCGGAGGGCGCGGGGCCCACCGTGAGGTGTGTGTGGTTGAAATAGGGCAAGAGAGCGGAGTTGGGAGGGAAAAGAGGCCGGGCACTCTGTTGCCATTTAATTTCCCTCTGGGCTTCCTTTGCTCCCATGGGGGGCAGCTATGGAGTGAACGGCTAAGTCCAGGCGGAGACAATCTTCTTCGCCCCCGCGTCACCCTCAGCCCTCCTTTCTCCCCTAAGTCGGTACCCCAACACTTCCACGTAACTTCCAGCCTCCCCTTCCTCCCTACCTCCTATTCCTAGAGTCGCTTTCTACCGCAGGACTCTTCTTTTCGACTACCCTCGCAGAAGATTTTCTCTTCCTTCCCTCGCCCAACTCTCCCTCGGGGCCTCTACGGAGGGCCCCCCCACCCCCAATGGGTGGCCCAAAATGGAGAACGCGGAGCAGCGCAAGATGGAGGCTCCGTTTCTCTGTGTAGTATTAGATTTAGGTTCCTTTTCTCCGACAGGCTCTTAAGCCGAGGAGAACCCAAACTGGAGGTGGGGTGGGGTGCGAGTCGTAGTCGGGGGAGGCAAGCCGGGCCGGCTGTGGCTGGGGTGGGGGAGAGCGCGGTATCTTGGTGAGGGGAAGAGAGCAAAATGGTGGTGCTGGGAACCTAGGGGGGAGGGGAGAAAGAGGCTCGGTTGTGTATATTTGGGCCTCGGACCTAGGGAGGCGAGGGAAAATCTACTCTGATCACACCCCTCCCTCGTGCCCCCTCCCTTCTCCCTTCCCCTCCTTCCTTTCCTCCCTCCCTCCCCTCCCTCCCTCTCTTCCTCCCTTCCTAGAGAGGGAACAACATTCATGTGACGGGCCCCTCTGCTTCTCCCCCGCCCCATCATCTCCAGCGCGTGGTGGGGGAACTGCTTGGGAAAGCGGTTGGCATCGATCTCTCCATCCCTTCCGAGGCCCGAGTTCGGTCAGTTTTCTTAGGGCAACAATTTTATAAATAGGCTGGGGTCTGGTGGCGTTGGCCCCCGCGCGCAGACCTTGACCCGAAGGGGGCCCTGCCTGCCTGGCATGGGCGGAGGGGGGGAAGGGCGGGAGTGGAAGGCTGTTTGTTGGGGGGTTTTGGCGCCACTTTTGTTTTAGTTTTAGTGCTGCTTTTCGTTTCCACCCCCACCCGCACTGTCTTTCTCAAGGCACGAACTGAGCTGATCCTTGCCCCAGGTAGGCAGCCTCTGTTTTCCCTCCACACTTTTATTCTTGCTTGAGGGCGACTTTCTCTTTTCTTCTATCACGTATCCGGAGATCTGTGGACGGCAATTTTAGGAGGAAAAGGGTCGGATGGGCCATGGGAGAGAGAAGGTGTGGGAAACAGCATCAAGTAGTTCCGCAAAACTTTGAGCCCCGTTCCCATTTTCTTCTGGCCTAGAATCGTAAACGTATTGTTGATTTCGGCCTTTTTTTTTTTTTCTTTTCCCTCCCGTCGCGAGAATGCCTTGTTTTGCCTTTAGTTTTTTTATAAACCGCTGTACTTTCGACATTTAGTTTCCACTCCTCCTCGATCTGTATGTCAATTTATTTTTAATCCCGAACTGTAACGTGTTATCGTGTGATTTTTCGTGTTTCGGTGTTCGCCTTTAATTTTTAATATTGCATTAGTAGTTTCATCCGGTCTGTGAGACTTTCTCCTCCGTGGCCTAGGATGTTTTTTATGTTGTTGCTTACCACCCCTCCTCCTTTTTACCTCCTTTCTCTTGGGTATAGTTTTTAAATTAAGGGTCATGTTTTTTGATTAAATGGTTATTTACAGTTTACATGATATGTGTATGAGAAACTTTTGATCAGTGGGGTTAGGTTTAAGTAAACGAGAAGCCTGTGTTGGTTTGCAATGGTTCCTTAAAATGCGCGGGCCGCCTCTCCCCCACCCGCGTAAAGCCTGGTCTTCCCTTCACACCGGAGTGTAAATTCCATACCCCTTTTCTCCCACGGACCGCCGTATTTCACAGCAGCCACACCCTGTATTTGTCTCTGTGGATTGGACTCATTATCAGCTTAATTTAGTGACTCTTAAACCACCATGATGGGACTTGCTTAAGCACGAAGGTTCTTTTCCTGTTTAGTTTTAGTGGTTAGTGTCGAAAGAGGAATAATCGAGGTTTCTTGATGAAACCTGGTACGGTTCAAGCTCTGCCTTTTTTCTGTTGTCTTTTTTCCTACTCCGGGCTGTTGGCGGTGTCAGCACCGCTGTTGGGGGCGGGGGGTGGAGGGGAGAAAGAGTCGGGTTACCGAAGTGCGTCATTCCTGGCTCTAGCCGGGCCTGCTCTGGAGCTGCTGGTGTTTGTTACTGTCCTCGCAGCACTTTCCTGCCAACCTTCTCTCTCTGCGTATTGGTTGGGAGCAAAAGCAGGAGGCGGTCTCCTAATTCTCTCTGTAGCCTAGCGGGTTGGGTTTAAGGATATATGTGAACTTATTAAAAAAAAAAAACCTGCCCTAGAAAAGTGCATGCATTTGTGTTTAATGAGCTACAATTCAGGTGGTTTAGACTTGCTTTCATATATTTTCCAGTGAACAGTGAGCTTAATTTTTGAACATTTTAAAGCACGTACATTAAAATGCTTGATTTTCTTTCTACATTGATATCAATCTATAATTAGGGATTAGAAGGACCAGTTAAGGCATACGTGTTCAGCGGTTTTTCAAGTGGTGAATTGTAATTTTATGATACATGCTAAATAGTCTGTTTCCTTTTTCCATTTTGAGCTGAGGTGCTGTGTGAATGCGAGCTAATTGCAAATGTTTAAGTTCATTTTCATGACATATTCCTGTTTATCCTTTTCGGTATTATTTAAAATATACCCATTGGGTTTTATGGACTTCATTAAATTTCTTAAAGATAGTTATTTCTGTTTTTACTGAATTCTTAAAGAAATTTATCACCGAATGTACGAGTTGTGTAGGGTGCCCATACAGTTGCATTGTTGGATTCTTGACTTTATAATTTACTTGTCTGATACTGTTATTTTCGTTTTTTTTTTTTCAGTGTACTTACTGGGCACAGTATCTTCCTCTTACTCTTTTAAAAGGTAATAATGAGGGGAAGGGAGTGGATAGGAGGTAGAGATGAAACAAGTGGCCTTGAGTTGGTTATTGTAGCTGGATGAGTACTGGAGAGTTTGTTGCTATTCTTATTTTACTTTTGTGTGTCCTTGAAAATTTCCATTATTAAAGACAAAAAATTGGGGGAAAATTTACAAATTGTTTCTGCACTTTTGACATAATGACTTTCTTAAATTTACATATCAAAATCATTTACATGGGGAACTTAGCATTGTGTGTAATTACACAATGCAAAGCATACAAACGTCCCAGAAATATTTAAACAGAACCAGTATAGAACAAACAACATAAACTGTTATAAATTGGTTACATTTCAAATGTTTGTAATTTAAGTCTGAATGTGCTCTACTTTTAGTTTCCTTTTCAGTTCTTTCAAAACAGGAAAATTCCATTTACAAATTTTAAACATTCTGCTTGGTGTCTGTTTCATCAAGTTGTAGTTAAAGTGGCTCAGGACGAAAGAGGTTTACTATTAATAGGAGGGGCTTTGCAGTTGGGAGTAAGTGACAGTGGAAGGCATGGGGTGCCACAGACAGCATTCCTGGTAGGAAGATCTAGGTACCTAACAGTTTCAGTATTGGTATTTGAGTCAAGAAGTGAATTGGAAAAGAAATGTACTTAACCATTCCTTCCCACTGTGAAATAACTACATTATGCTAAGGTATCAGAGACTGGCAGGGAGGGTGGAGTGGGTTCTTTTTAAACTGATACCAAAATTAGCATTTAACATTTAAATGATTTAGGTCACCCCACCCCCCTTTAATGATATGGTGTTACTACTACTTAAAAGTAGTAGTATGCAAACTTTTAATATTTTCTTTTAAGAACTTTTTTTTACCATTGACATCAGCAGTAAAACTGCAGTTAAAACCCTTGATCTTAGTGTATTTGTGAACTGCTCCTAAAATATAAGGTAAGTGCCTTGTTTTCTGTAATTTTGTATTGTTCAGTGTCGATAATTTTTTTTCCCATGTGAGAGGTATTTTTGACTATATCTCAAAGTTCTGAAGGGGATCCAAAGTAATGGAAATTGTATTTTTATGCTTGGTAAAGTACATTCCCTAATCATTATTACAGCAAAATTTCACCCATCTGCGAACAGAAGTTTGATAACTGTTAACATTAGTCTCTTTGCATGTTTCATATTCATTTCAGCTTTAGAAGGATGGAAAGGGAAGATAAATAACATTTCACATTTTATTCCTATGTAAATACTGTTTAGATGAAGAGGATTGTGGCATCAGATTTATTTTATTGTGGTGAGGCAATAGCTAAATTACTAAACGAACAAATTTTGAAGTTTATTTAGTTTGGATTTTTTAAAGCCCAAACACGTACAAGGTTTTAGTGAAATTAAATTCTGCTTTTCCTTTTCATTGTTTTCTTTTTTTTCCCGTACTAATTTTTGAGATCTCTTTTAGGACCTATGAAGTAAAATTGGGGGATTGAGATTGGGGAAGCAGGACGGCTCAATCTATTCCTTTGGGAATATAGGGTTAGCTATGAAAATATCCCATGGTCACTTTAGTAATTCTTAATGTTCTGCATGTTTAACCGATACCACCTATAATCCTGTGTGGGAAGGTAGTAAGCAGTAAATAGCGTATTCTTTTTGCTTTGGGTTCTTTATAATAAAAGCAGTATTTCAGTTTTTGATGTTGCAATTTAACTTTTGAACTTAAAATTTACGTTAAATTAAGATTTACAGTTTACAGTGGTGCACAGTTTTGAGAGTTGGGAGAACAGCAAAACAAAGGGATAATTCAGATTTGCTATGAACTGTTAGCATAGTCCCAGTTGGTTATTAGCTTATATTGAAATGCGATTAATTGTGGACAGCAAACCAGGAACTTCAAAGTTCCAGGTTATTTTTAAAGTTCTTCACTTTTTGTAATTTTATACACTTAATATACGATCAGGGTTTTTAATGTATGGTTCAGTACTGTTCCTGCATAATAGTTCATCTTCAGCTATCATAAATGATAGTTGCCACATGCTCTTTGGTGAACACAGGAAGACACCAAATTGTCAGTTTAATTTTTTTCAGTCTCCCGAATTGCTACCTTTGTGTTTAATTTAACCAAATATTATATTTCTTTAGTGTATATGGTGTTGCTTTGTGAACTGTCCCACCCTTCCCCTTACAGGTGTTTGAACTTGGGGCCTACACCTTGAGCCATTCCACCAACCTATTTTTGTGAAGGTTTTTTCGAGATAGGATCTTTCGGAAGTATTTGCCCAGGCTGGCTTTGAACTGTGATCCTCCTGATCTCTGTCTCCTGAGTAGCTAGGATTACAGGCCTGAGACATTGGTGCCCAGTTTGTGAAACTGGTATGTGTGTGTGTGCGTGTGTGTGTGTGTGTGTTAAAAATTTTTGTATCTTCAGCAGCTGTGGTAATCTGCTACCTGAATTGTAGGTTTTTTTCTGAATTGAGTTTTTAATACATGTTTGGTATAGTTCTTTGATATTAACTAGTAGATCCCAAGGAAGTTAGTGTCAGTCAAGAAATTTTTTAAATGGTTTTATAATCCTCCCCGCAAAGAGAAGATGAATAATACCAATAATTAATTTAATTTTACTTTATTTTTTTGAGATAGGGTCTACTTTGTAGCCCAGGCTGGCTTCAAACTCTGGTGCCTCAGTCTCCTGCCTCCGTTTCCTGAGTGCTGGGATTACAGGTATGCATCACCACACCTGGCTTTTTTTGAATTTTAATTACAAAATACATGACTAGACTTGATGAGACTAACTATGGAGATTTCTGTAAGCTCTGTGACTTCGTGTACAACTCAGTTAAAATCCTTTATGAAAACTAAGTTGTTCAAATTCTTGTACGTTGTTTGAGTGTTTGAGGAGGGGAAAAGTGAATCCTTTTTGTGAGAATAGCATTTGTTGCAATAAGGTATGACCTGTGATTTTTTGAGACCTGGAATATTCTAAGAAAATTTTACTGCTATTTGAGCCCCTTTGAATGTCAACAACCATGTAATAATATGAATTCTTTAATCCTCTCAGGCACCTTGCAAGATGCAAATGAGTAAATGACTTATTCCAAATCACACTTATTAACCTAGCTTGAAATCGATTTTGTATTTTTTGTTAAACTCAGCACTTTCACTTACTGGTTTAGGTCTTGGGCTGTTCATTATCCCAAAACGTGCATCATTGTTTTAATTTTTACAAAATCAAGATCTTTAAAAAATGTTTAGTGTAAGATAAATGCAAATTTTTACCCAGGATCAGGTGTGTGGCTGTCAGATAAAAGGTCTATACTAATTGTTAAAAATAGTTGAAATAAATTTGATTTTTATGTTGAGTATGCTCATTAAAGTTTGTGGGATAATATATTGGGTCTTGAAACTTGGGAAGGTTTCTATTTTCTATTTCTATGGTACAGATTTTCTTTTTCTATTATGTTTATGCTTTCTCCAGACTGTGTCTAAGGATAGTTCTCCAGTCCTTCAGATTATTGAATGGTTACTAAGAATTTAAGCTGGTCTAATAGGTTTTAAGCTGGTTTTCATAGGGGGATTTTGATTTTTTCTCATTGTTTAATAGTACCTCAAACATTCTTTTTCCTTCTGTTAATGTCTTTTCTGTTTGTGTAGTATTTTTTTGGTGGTACTGGGTTTTGAACTAAGGACCTCACACTTGGCTAGGTCTAGTTCATGTTTTACCTTAAATTTTGTTTTTTGTTTTTTATCTCTGTCAGGTGATAGTTAATACCAGGGATCCAGATTATTAGCTTTTTTTTTTTTTGTGGCGTTGGGGCTTGAACTCAGGGCCTCATGCTTGATTATTAGATTTATTACTGATCAGTATCTTGGTGTCAGTTTTCTTTCCTGTTCTTCCTTCCTGCTTTTCATAAACTATTAACTGGAGTTTTTCTTACCTGGATAAATGCTGGATGTTGGATTTCTGACCTAGATCAGTTAGTGGAGATGAGGTAAAACTGATTTATATTGGTGCTTTTCATGGCCATGAGTCAAATGTATGTATTTTATGTTGACCACTCCCTTAAGCTTCATCCTGTAGGAAACAGTTTTTCCAGGTGATGAACAGCAGTCTTCAACCCAGATTGTTCAACATTGAGTCTTTTCATCCATAATTTACTCTTTGTATTTCAAGAATACCAAGAATGGATATTCCAAACAGAATTAAGCCCCAAGGTATCTACTGTGCATTAGTTTCTCCTGTGCATCTGGAAAGATAGTTAGATACTGGAAATATTCACTCAAATAGTTTTCTGAGTTCTATAGATAATGTGAGGAACTCTTGTTGAGAATGCTAGAATATTAGGGGACTTGGTTTGCCACTAAGCAGTTTTACTTTTCGGTCATTTTCCTGCTAGAAAGCATAATATACCCTCTATTAAAATGAGAATGCAATAGATAATATTGCCATCTCTGCATGATAAATTGGTTAGTGTTGATTTCAGGCAGTTAGTGCAGCTTAGTTGTTTTAAAGACTTGAATGTAGGAAGCTAAATGTATAATTTTATTTGGAAAAGAATATTATGGGAGCCCTGTTCATTATACAATTCAAAATCTTTTATAAAAAGTCACGGACAGTGACTAACATTGACAATAACTAATCCTTACTGAACTCTTACTATATACTAGACACTGTTACAAATATTTTATATGTATTAGCTCCCTTAATCTTCATAACCTTAAGAGATAGGATGACTATATGATTCATTGTTTAAGCCAGGATATTTTTGAGAGTGAAACGGAGCAGTAATGGGATATGCTTGGATAATAGCATAAACTAGGACTATCCCAGAGAAACTGGGATATATGATGACCCTAATTAATACCCCCTTTTTCAGAAGAGGAAAGTAAAGGATAGGGAGGGCAAGTACCTTGCCCAATTATAAGTGGTAGGAAGGGATTCCAAACCCCTACAGATATTTCTGTGGGCATGAAAGTGATTTAAATTACTTTAAATTGCTATATTCTGAGAGTTTGCTTATTTTTACTCTTTTGGGGAACTTTTTATTGGTACAAGATCAGTAGTAAAAGACAAGATGTGTTTTTTAAACCCAGGAGAATTTCCAGTTGGCTTTTTTCAAGTTGCTAGGACTGGGGTGATTATATGTCTTAATGCTAAAAAGCAATTTCCCTGAGGTCTACCTAAGTAAAACAAAAGAAAATAACTACATCCGGGTTTATTTTCCTTACATATTATTCAGGTTTCTTTTACTTTTTTTTTTTGGAGAAAATGTGGGTCATGTCATACTTCATGGGGTTTCTTCTGAGAAGACAGCTGAAAGAAGGGAAATATTTTGTGACTAGGGAGAAATGATATTAAAAAAGAAGAATAAGGTTCAATTTAGAGACTTGAAGTTAAACTGACTCTACAACATAATTTGAGAGCTAGGACTTGTAGAGATTGATGCGCAGAGATTGATGCTTCATTTCATAACATCAATAGTCCTCTTGGGGCTGGGGATGTAGCTCAGTGCTAGAGCCAGTACTTGGCATTTGCAAAACTTTGGATTTGGGTTTAGTCCCCAGCACCAAAACAACCCTCTTCCCCCCAGAAAACTATTCCTCGTATTTATGATGAATTTTATAGTTATTTTGTATGTATGGCTTGTTTATGTTTGTGGTACTCCCTTCCTGCAAAATTAGTTAACAATGAATTCAAACATGAAGAAATGATTTTGGTATAATTGTGGATCTACTATATTGTAAACTATGACTTTTCCCCCATAGTTGGCTGTTTTAATACTTGATGAGTAGTTTTGTTTTTCCCCCTTAGCTAGTTTACCTTTCTTTGTAGGGTCTACTGGTGTTAATCTTATTAATAGGATTAAGAGGTCATTAAGTAGGTCCACTCACTTTTTAGAAATTTTTTATTTAGTTCCTTAAAACCATCTGCGTGATAAGATAGAGTTTTGAAGGAATATTGCATTTCTTTTTTTTTGATGGTACTGGGGTTTGAACTAGGGGCCTCTTGCCTGCTAGACAGGTACTCTACCACTTCAGCCATTCTGCCAGCCCAAGATTGCATTTCTGACTAGATGAAAGAATTAATAGGGGATTTATAATAGCAAATAGGTGTTTTAAAATTGTATTGCTGGTTTAAGCTGGAGTCCATGATGGGATGGAGGTTTATGAGCTCTCTGAAATGATGTACAAGATGTTATATGTGCATTCTATCAGGTTCTGAAGGGCTCATTCATTGTTAAATTAGCTGGTACTTAAAGTGCCTATTGGAGATAGGATATTCAGTAGTAAACTAGATTACATAGTCTGTCCCAAACTATCACCATTAAAGGGGGGAAAGTTATTATTTTGCAAAAATGTTTCATACTGGGATTGCGCTTTTTTTTTTTGGGGGGGGTTGAGATAGGGTCTCACCATGTAGCCCAGGCTGGCCTCATACTTGCCTCAGCCGCGTGCCTCAAGCCTCTCAAATACTAGGAATACAGGCATGCACCACTAAGTCTGTGTTTTGTTTTGTGTTGTTCTGTGGTGCTAGGGATAGGACCCCGGGTCTTGCTAGTTGCAGGCCAGCACTCTTAACACTGAGGTATGATTCTGGCCTGCCATCAGTGCAATTTTGACACAGTGTCTTTAATTTGAAATTAGTAACAATTGTTGCAAAATAAGGCCTGCTCTGAAAATCCTTAGGGGGAAGAAACAACTGAAGATTTTGATGTAGGCTTGGAATGCTCAGTCTTTGGTGATTAATAAACTAACTTAAAAGGTTCTGTGATTGGCTGGGCGCTCGTGGCTCAAGCCAATCATGTAATTAATCTTAGCTACTTGGGAGACTGAGATTGGGAGGATTGCTGTTTGTCTCCAGACTAGGCAAATAGTTCTTGAGACCCCCATCTCTAAAATAATCAAAACAAAATGAATTGGAGGTATGGCTCAAGCAGCAGAGCAAAAACCTGAGTTCAGTTGGGCGCTGCTGGCTCTCACTTACATGTAATCCTAGCTGCTCAGGCAGAGATCAAGAGAATTGCGAAGCCATCCCAGGCAAATATGTTGTGAGACCCTATCTTGAAAATACCCATAGCAAAAAGAGCTGGCAGAGTGGCTCAAGGTGAAGGCCCTGAGTTCAAGCCCCAGTCCACCAAAACAATGTCCATGATGATCTAGTATAACCATTTAAGGTTGTTCAAAGGTTGAGACCTTCAAATCTTCAAATGGTATTATGGTTCTGTATAAAAGCAACTGGCAATCACCAGTAACTTTGTTAGGGAGGCTTGTACTTGTGAGGCTGAAGCAGGAGGCTCACTTTAGCCCAGGAATTCTAGGCCAGTCTAACTTTGTTATATGATATTCTCTTGTGTGACTTTATATCAAGTTCTAAA